GAGAGAGATTGTAGTCAAGGATTTAATGTGACTCCAGTGGACCCATAATGTTGAGCTATACTTATCAAGATGGACTGAAGCATCAACTTTTGAAGGAAATAAAAAATATTTTTGGTTGCAACCTTCTCACTATATCTGCATCCTCAATTGTGGGGTGGGTGTTTATTTGGCTTCCTGGTCTGGATCCTTGAAGGGGTGTTTAAAAAGGAAAAAAGAGGAAAAGAGAATAGATTTGCTTCAGTATTTTTCTTTCTCTTTATGCTGTGAGAAAATTTCATTTGGATGTCTCTCAAGATAGTTATTAAAAGAGTTTCTTCCATCTTTAATCTCAGTTCAATTTTAGTGAATTTTTTTCCTGCTCTGCAAACTCTGGCCATTCATTTTAAGTGTTAGAAAACATTTTCCACCTGGATTTTTTTTTTCTGGTAAAAACTAACAAAGTTAAACTTGCGGTACATTTGAGTTTAATAGCAAAGTAGTCACACCCAGTGGCCTTGCTTTCCATCTGTCTAGATCCTGTCTTGAGTTCTATCTGTTGCCCTTTGTCTTTAAGAAATTAGGAGTAAACTAGGCCCAGCTCAATAAACCTGTCACACCTCTGCAGCTGTTTAGGGGCACAGGCACCAGCAGTGGAGGCTGCACAACCTTAAGTGCTAAAGCATTTGAGTAGATAATGCTCCTGGGAGAGGGCTCCTTAAGAAGCCCAATTTCTGGTCTGGATTATGGCAGATTGTGCGCTGGACAGGGGTGGGTCCAACACTTATGAACTGGTACAGAAATTGCTTTGGGTCCTTTTTAATCCCTTTTCATCACTTTTACCAACACCAACCATCACGGATCCTGTGGAACCCCGGGCAGCCAGTTGGTGAGTACCTGGCAAATGAATCTTTCCTGTGTTTTTGAAGTATGGAGAAGGTGACAACACTTCAAAATTTCACTTTAAAATAATAACCTTAAATAATTGTTTAGAAATAACTTTCTAAGCTTCCCTCCCTGCCCCCAGAAGTTTCACAGCACCCTGGGGCACTTTACTTTCTCAATTTTAAGGTGTATCCCAAAGATTCCAAGTTCTTACCTCATGTATTTTTCACCATCTGCACTGCTATCTTGATTGGCCATTGAACCATGGAGGGGGGCAGCACCTACCCGGGTTTTACAAAAACGATTGTGTCTGCATGTGTGTGGGACACCCAGATCTGCACATCCTCACGTGCCACTGGCACCTCTTCTAAAACTGTGGATTTTCAGCAATAGAGGTGCTGAGAATTTTCACAAGCAGCAGCGACAGCTGGGGCACGAAGTGATTCTGGGGAATGGCAGCCCGGCTTTCCCGCTGTCCGCAGTGTCCTTTGAGAACACCCAGGGTCTGAGCCTGCTTTCTTCCAGGAGTCCATGAGGCGCCCCTGCCTTGTGCCAAATGGGCTAGAGGCCATGGCCTCCCCATTCTTACCCCCCCCCCCGAGTGTGTCAAGATCTTCAGTGGGTGTGCAACCGGACCTTGAGTTGTTTCTCCATCCCCAGCCTTCAAGGCTGTCAGGCGGGATCTACGCTGTTCAAGGCTGCCACCGCCACCCGCCACCCGCAGGTCCCAGCTGCAGGGCTTGGGGGGCACCAGTAGTGTGCTCTATCCCAGACACCTTCCTGACATCCTGGCTATGAGTGTCCTGGCAGGGCAACCCCACCCTTCGACCGCAGCCTGACCCCGGGCCCCACCATCAACTCCCCGTTCTCGCCCTTCCTCCAGGGTCAGGGGTCACACACAGCGGACACCCCTGACTCAACTGTTTCTTTGATCTCTGAATTAGGGGGCCAAGGTGCCCGTATTGTCAGGCCTGCCGAGAGTCTATGGCCACTAGCACTGGGACTTTGCTGCTGCGGTGAGGAGCCCGGACCGTGGGTGCACAGGCCTCACCTGGCCTGCGCTCCTGCAACCTGGGGCGATGCTCTACCGGGCTTCTCCGCTTGGGCTTCAAGGGCGGGAGCCGGGGCGTTAGGCCCGCCGACCGGGCAGTCCGTGTGCGCATGCGCGCCACCGCAAAGCCCCGGGTGACTCAAGCCCGCGCACGTGTCCAGGCGCCGGGGGCCTCGCGCTCGCCAACCCCCCATCTCCAGGGAAGAACTGAGGCCCGACAAAGCACTATCGTCAATAAAAAAAAAAAAAACCCTCGCAGTCTACAGCCCTGGCCTAGCTGATGCGCCAGTGCCCTTGGGACGCACGCAGACACCGCATAGCAGCCTCCAGGCCTCAAGGGCCAGAGCGAGAGCGCGCGGCTGGTGAGCTGGGAAAGACAGTGAAAGTGGGGCTCCGCGGACTCCACAGCTCCGGCAGGCACTGGGCTGGGGCAGGCCTGGAAGGAAGCTGCACAGCCTGAGGCCCGGGCGGGAGTGGCGGGCCCCGGGCGAGGGAATGTATATTTGGAAGGGGTCAGGACCTCGGCTGGAGTCTGGCTTTTTATGGCGAGGAAACTGACTGGGAAGGGACTTCTGGCGAGGCTTTCCTGTTGTGCCACTTTTCCCCGGCAGCGCCGGGGGCAGGGCCTGGGGCAGGGCCTGGGGCTGCACCAGGGAGGGTGGGAGGGAGGCCTTCTCAGGGCTCCGGGACCGGGTCAGGGTCCTGTGGGTAGGCCCACCCAGGAGCCTGCCCGCCACCAAACTTACTACATCACTGCTCCGCACCTCTGGATAATCGGTCCAACCAAGGAGTAGAGGGTCCCGTGAAGTTCCCGCAGAGACCAAGGACTGGTGCCCCAGGACCTCTGCCCCTTCAGGTCTCTCTGGGAATTTCTAGCACCTAGACTGCCCCTGGCTGTGAGAACCACGGTAGGGCCTCCTCCCGTAAGCTCTCCGTGGACACTTTGGGCAGAGGCCCACACTCTTCGCCACGGTCCGCACAGATGTTGTGGGGCCCGGTGTTGTCCGTGTGTGATTTTTGTGGGCGATAGTAAAAATAAAATAAAAACAAAGTCGGCTTTGGAATCTCAAGGAAGCCCCTGGCACCAATGCCACCTGCGTGCTCAGGCTCTGGAAAGACCCCTCGAGTACGTGAACCTCCCAGCCTTGGACTAAGCCTGGTCTGGGGGAACGCTGCGTTCTCCACGCGCTGGGCTCCGGGGACGGCCATGGAAGGCCCTCCTGCGCGTTATCAGAGAAGCCGATTTGAGAACAGATTATGCGTTTTTTCTTCTGCCAGCAGATTTTAAACAATCCGAGGCCAGTGGAACATGTGCTCCCCATCCCCGTCGGTTTTGTGCCTTTGTAGCCATTAATGAGCCCCCTGCACAGCCTCTGGGACAAATAACCTGTTTTTATTCTGAAGGAAATGCAGAGGCCTTAGGAGTTAATGGCGCTAAATGTGTTGGTTTTCCTGCTTTTCCCCTGGGGTAGGGACTCAGAGGGGGATGTCTGTTTTTCTCCCTCTCTTTCTCTCCCTCTGTCTCTGCATCTAACTTGTCCTCAAAGTCGACCAGCAAAATCTTCCATTCTCCAAGCTTGAGTTTTATGTCCCCACCCAAGCCCTTCACTGCATTCACCTCTGAGTTCCATGGCCCTGCCCGGGTTTTCCTCCACTTAGGTCAAAGGAGAAGCCTCATTGCCTCAGGCCCCTTTGCTCACTTGCTGAGCTCACAAATTGCTCTCCCATGCCCACCCAAGTAGCAGTGTTAAGCTGCATTGACTTAGGGGACAAAAGAGGAGCCCACCAGGTCCCCTTCCTGGGATCAACCTTCAGGAGCAGCTTCAGAGAAAGGGTAAGTGGTCTAGTCTAAATGATGCACATGGGGACCAGTGTACTTGAAGTGGCCCAGAAGCAGGCCAGAGAAAGAAGATGCTCTTTAGGAAAAGAGAACGCACCACCGAGAAAGGCAAGGGGCCTAGGGAGGAACTGAGGCCTGCTAGGTCACCCGCCCAACCCAGGCCAGGATTCTGAGCTGGATGAAATGCCAGACCCTCTCTCAAGACCCTGCAGACCCGGCCTCTTCTCTCTGGCTGTGTCTCCCACTATGGGTACCTTTCTCCAAGACAGGAAGACAGGCCTGGGTCTATATGCAAGGAAATTCCAGATCCTAGTGCATCACCCATAATACGCTCAATATACTGCGAATTTAAAATCAGTGAAGGAAAAAATCAAGTAAACAACCAAAAAAATAATATAAAACAGAAGGTTTCTTTGGAACCAGAGTAAGATGGGGAAAGAGCACAATAAAGGTCTCAAGTTGAGCCTTATATTCTCTGCACCTTATTTTGGTTTCCAATAAGGCGGACATGGTACATTTTGCTCAATTTTCCACTCCTAATCACATTGAGAACATTTGTGGAGAAGCAGCTTTCATTCTCCCAAATGGCTTTTGGAGCTGAAATTCATTTACTTAAGTATTGTTCCTCTCCCAACTGGACTTGGACCTAGGACCTGCCAGTCTCACTCCCGTGTGGCCCCAGGTCTGTCAAGCTTGGGCGAAAGCTTGAGGTCAGGGCCTCATCTGGCCAATCCCCCAGATGGCCCAGTGGAAGATAGGTATATAGACCACCAGGGCAGTAAGATGGAAGTGGGAACATCTTAAGAAATTTGGGGGCATCAGGGCCTTTGGGAGCTGGAAGGGAGAAGCATGAAGGAAAGTGACAAAAAGACTCATGAAACTTCGTCGTCGTTATGTTGGATTCACACTCAAAAAGAGGGAGAGAGAATAAAGGGGTAGGGGATCAGGGTCACATAAGTCCCTGCTCTGAAGATAGAGCCCAAAAGCAAAGAAAGTCATTCTGTTAAGGATTTGCAGGGAATCTTTTGGCCATGTTATAAATCGACATAGATGAGGTTTCTGAAGCTGGCATTTAGGAGCCTATAGCAAATCTCAATGTGTTTCTCTTCCTGCTGAAGTGACCACTGTAGGAATAAATTAGACTTCCCTTACTGGGAACTTTCCTGAGCTTGTGTGCTCCCACCCCCAACTTGGTGTGGTGAGGACTCTGACACAGTCTTCTGGTCCCTTTTCTCCCCAGACTCCAATCACTCTGCTTGGCTGAAAAATGACTGCCCACACAGAATCATACTCTGTCCTGCCTGGCCAGCTTTATTACTTGGCCACCATCAATCTTACCCCTAACACGACATTTGTTTATAACGGGTGGGAAGGGCTAATGGCTTCACGAACCAGCCATGGAAAGAGTAGAGGGAAATAGAAAGAGAAGGCCTTGCAACAACAGGCAGGACTCAGTGGTGGGGACCCAGCAGGGCTCAGAAGCAACTGGGGCTCCTCTCCTAGAGTGCTAAGATGTGTCGTGCAGGTAGAGAGAAACTGTCACACTAATTGGCCTTGCTTTGGGTGCCACCACCAGCTTCTGCAAACACTGGAGTGGGTGCCTGAGGCCTAAAGAAGGATGGATGACTCTTGCCCCTGCTGGGCAGTGGGGCTAGGCAGCCTGAACCAGCATAGGGTTAAGGGCCTCTTGGATTTTGCACCATTAAGAACAAAACGAATGGCACTCCACCTTAAAAACTGAGGCCCCATCCCCTGGGTAGGAGAGAAAAGGTCCTATGTCACCTCCTCACCTATCAAAGTTAGGGGGAGCCCAAAAGGGCTATAAGGCAGTCTTGTTTCCTGACCCTTGTTTCTGACCTGGCAGGAAACAGCCAAGAGCTTACAAGCCACCAGTACAATTGAGCCTTATTTCTCTGCAAACATCGATTATTAATGACACAAACTGTGTGGAATAATAAATTGTAAAATGCATGCTTGTTTGGGTGAAGTCTGGTGAAAAAAGGCCTGCTAACTACATAACTCCAAAAAACAGCACAAGTTTCTACCACTCGTGCAATATGCCAAATGCAAGATTTTATACGGCATGTAACAAGCTGGCATTTACATGCTCATGGTATAAATTGCTAAGAAAATAAATGCTCCTACTTCTACATAAAGGACAAAATACTTATTATCCTAAAGCCTTTTACAGAGGCTATTTTCACAATTAGCCGATTCCCCACCCTGGGTCTGGTCTGCTGTCACAAGCTAACTTGTAAATGTAGTGGCTATTACTTAAAATGTCAAGGAGTTTTTCTCAGAATATTTCACAGAGGAACTACCCTTATTGGTAAAAAAAAAAAAAAAAAAAAAGTACAAACTAAACATGTAAACCTCCCAGAATAAGTAGTTCCAAGTTAAGTTGATTTTCTTAAATTGGATGAGAATCCAAAAGATAATGTATTGATAATAACAGTCATCACATAGACGTAATTTTAGAATTCAGAATGATTCTCTCCTTCCACTTAAATATAGCTTCTGAACGATCACGCAGGCAACTCGTTCCCAAGTAACTACTTTCTCTAGGTATGCACAACACAAGCACCTTCTTAAACACGTGTTGTCTTCCACGGCTAATTTTCAAACATTCAAATTAAAGAGGGCAAGAATAGTTGCTAACTAGTTTTCCTCCCAAAAGAAAGTAAATACTGAAGAGCTGCGCCGGGCTCCTCGCGGCCAAACAGGCTGGAGCACCGCACTCACACCCTCTTCCTTCTCCAGCCACTGAGACTCGGGGCCCAGAAACGAAGGGCCAGGGTCTGGCAGCACCCCCCACCACACCCCCACACCCCACACACACCTCCCAGCGACCGAGGAAAGCCCCCAGCCGGGAGCGGGCGAGCTCCTCCTCTGGCCCGGGCGCTGCGGGACGCAGGGCCGAGGCGGTCCTGCTGAGGCGTCCGCAGCTCACACCCGGGAGCTGAGGGGCCGAGCAGAAAGCCCACTGAGCTTCTCCAGGCCCCAGCTGAGCTTAGGTCCCAAAACAAAGGCTGGAGGAAACGCAGAGGGTCCTGGGCACTTGGTCCCCAAACACACCGAGCCCGCCGCTCGCCCGAAGGCCTCTCATGTCTTTTAGGTCTAGCGACTCCCTGTATGGCCTCTGCCAAGTGATTTGGTGGCCTCTGCAAACCGACCTCACACACATGCAGGGACGCAGCCTTGCCAAGGAGGCCGCCTCCCGAGTGCTATCCCGGGAAGGTCGGGCGCGGTCGGGCCGAGGCGGGTTGGCGGAGGTCCTGCGAACGCGCGGCTCTGGGCCCTCCGCCCTGAGGCTGCGGGTCTGCGCGGGGCGAGCTGTCAGCCGTGAGCAATGAAGTGCCTCTGACCTTTCCACCCGGGCTGGGCTCCTAAACACACGTGTGTCTTCAAAACAGGGATAGAGAGCGAAGAGGAAATGGGAGCGCAGTGGGGCCGGGACGCACCTGGCGGGGTCGCGGGGCGAGGAGGGAGAGGTGCTCTAGGATTCACCCGGGCGCCCGTGCGGGAGCCATGGAGGCGCTTCCTCTGGCCCCGCGACCTCTGTCCTCTGCATTCACACGCGCCTGCCCTTTGTCACCCGCCCCCCCGGCTTGGTCTTCCCGGCACCCACCACCAAACCCCAAGGAACCCATCTAACCAAACAGAGGTCTCGGGTGACTCTTTTCTCCCCCAGTCTCTTATTTCGGGAATAGGCGGCGCAGACCAGAGCTGGAACCTGGGAAGGGAGGCGGCCGGGCGGGGACAGGCGAGGGGGGAGGAAAGCGCTCCAAACGCAAACAGAAGCTTGCCCGGGGCCGCAGCGGGCAATTACAGCTAATTAGCTGAAGAGCGTTCCCGCCGGGGAGCGGCGTCCCGAGGCCGGCGTCTGGGGCCCGGCCCGACTCCGAAGGGTTTGGGCCGTGGAAAAGCGCCCCAGCAGCAAAGCCGGGGGTGGCCCGCGGGTCTGCACTCGCCACCCCGCCCCCATCCCGTTCCAAAAAGTTGAACCAGAAAAGTAGAGAACCTTAACAGTTTCTGGTTGTCCGGCCTCTGGGTGGATCATCCGCTTCGCGGAGCCACGGCCGTGGGTCACCTGCTGTAGCTGCCTTCTGGGCCTGGACAACCCAGTTCAGGCCACCGGACACTTACTCGCAAATACCAACTTCACGCTCGGCTCTCAAAAGTGGAGCAATGCACCAACTCCAAGAGCTTTGGGGATGGATTCTTTAACTTCACCCCATGACCCCCCCCCTCACCCCCCACGTCCCAAAAGAGGTAACCTGAGGAAGCTGGAGGCAGCCCCAGGGCTGCGACACCAGCAAGATTTACCGGGCAGCAAGGCCAGCCCCAACCGGCCTGACCTGAGGAGACACCCGCGCCAGCGCCGCTGCGATCTTCCCCGGCTATTAGGTTACTACTCTGGGGGAGGGGACCGAGCGAATCAGAGGCCACGTAAAGCAGTTTTTGACTGAAATTAGAGTGTATTTATTTGCAGCAATCCTTTAACAATGATCAAATTTTGACACAAGCAACAGCAATTACTGCTTAAGTGTTGCCTCTAGATAGGAGCGGCAGATAGCAGGAAACTGTATTATCTTGAAAACAAACTGAAAGGCCCTGAATGTCTGTAATCAAATCGCCATCTCCCCAAAGTCTGATTGACAGGGCAGATCACCTAAGATAATGAATTTATTACATTTCCTGGGGTATTTACAGAGGGGGGAGAGGGCCAATCCCAATCGCCCCCTAGGTTTAACTGTAAATTAAAAAGAAAAATTGGTTTAAAAAGAAACCACCCTGGACTAAAATGTTCTGCTCTTCTCTCCTTCCTTCCTTATTATTGCTTTAAATCTTTTTCAAAAAATAATTGTTCTACAAACATTATCTTCTAAATAGTTTCCCAAAGATTAAATATCCCTTTCCAACCCACAGTACATTTTTTTTAAAAAAATCAATCGTTCTATGTAATACATGAAGAATTTTAAGTGTGGATGTGTTATATATATACATTTAAAAACTGGTTTACTTTTCCTCTTACAAAGTACTGAATTAATAGGAAAAAAATCCATTCAGCATCTGGCTCACAGGGATGTATAATACACATGGCAATTTTCTATGGGAAGCACAAGCCAAATACTCATCTGTGTATATCAGGAAGCACATTTGCATCCTCTGCACACAGGTATCACTATGGTAAGACCACTACCAAGTCACGGGCTTAAAGTTTCCAAATCACGTTCTGTCATTACTGAGAAAACTTTACTTTTTCTGCCAACTCAGATCTGTTTAGGAAATATCGTTTTTACTAGCCACAAAGCAAGCTGACTATAATAGTACATGTTGCAGAAGATGCTTCAGGAAAGGAAATCTAAACAGGAAAAAAAAAAAGACATTTTTTGAAATTTGACTGGGTCTAGTCAGAGGGTTTCTCTATTTTTCAGAGATTTAGGTGGAGAAGAGATAACTTCTAGTGTTTTATCTCTGAAATCTTTTTCAATAATAATTAAGGCTATATTAAAGTATCCAGACATATAGGTCTCATTCAAACTGAATGGTGATTTATTAATAAACAAACAATGAATATGTTCAACAAAAGAAAGAAAAGATGATAGAGGAAGATTAATACAGTTTCCCTTTTTATAATGAGAAAAAAAGCACAATTTAAAAGTTTCAGACAATTTAACGTCAGGTTTTGGAAACACTTTCTGGCGTTTGGTCCACAACATCCAACTACAAATTAAAAATAAATTACTATATTGCAATTTACATTTTAAAACAAGTCCATGAATAAAAAGAATACGATTGTCATAAAAGAGGACTTTCCGCCTCCTTTCAACATAGGATAAAATAATATCTTACAGGTGAGAGGGCAAGGAAGATGGCAGGAAAGTGAGAGGAGAGGAGAGAAGCAGGTCTCTGTAAAGCAAGAAGAAACTTACGTGTTATCTGGAGTAACACTGTCCTTTAATAAACCATGATTTTGGTGTCTCTGTACAAAATAGTTTACGATTTTGTTTATTTAGATAAGGCAAAGTGGAGGTGGCTCCGAATTACTCTTTTAAGAAAATAGAGTTTTCTCTGTGCTGGTGTTGGTGAGCTGTATTTCTGGAGGATTCTGTTCACTGTTGTAGTGAATGTTCTCAAGTTTTTAAAGTTGGATTTGTTTGGTTTCGATTTTGCATTGATGGGTTCCTTTGGCTGTTTTTGTTTGGGGGTTCCTTTCAGTTCGGCGTGGCGGGGGTTGTCAAAACTTGCTACAGTCATAGACAAAAGCTCCGGACGTGCGGTACAGAGACTGGCTGGAAGGGAAGGCCATCTGACAGCTACTATTCCCATTCACCGGAGAGTTGTTCAATCCGATCCTCTGCGACTCGAACATCTCCCGCACCGAGTGGAAGTTCTGCTGCTGGCCTGGGTAGCCCGCGGCCGCGGCCGCTGCGCTCGCCAAGTGGCCCAGGTCTCCTCCTGCCTGGTTCAGGTACCAGGAGGTGAGACGGCCTTGGTGGGCCGCAGGGTGGTGGCCGGCCTCCTGGCCGCTGCCGCCGCCGCCGGCGTGACTCAGGGACGACGAGCTGCTGCTGGTAACCGGAGGCAGAGAGTAGTCGGGCAAGGGGTCATCCACGGCCGAGCCGCTCGCGGCCCCGGGCGCACCCTGCAAGTGGCCGCCCCGCTCGCCCGCCGCGTACAGGCTCATGGCCTGCAGGTTGCAGTGGTAGGTCCCGGCGCCGCCCGCGCCCCCCGCACCGCCGCCGCCGCCGCCCCCGCCCGAGCTGCCGCCGCTGGAGCTCTGGCTGCAGGGGGAGCTGTAGAGGGAGCTCTGGCCCGGCGAGTAGGCGCCGAGCGCCAGCGGGGGCGCGATGCCTGCCCTCGAGGACGCGGCCGCAGAGGCCAGAAGGCCGGAGCTGAGCTCCGCGGCCGCGCCCTGCGGCGACCCCCGCAGCGACGTCATGATGTTGTCCACGCTGAAACCCTGGCTGTGGTGCGGCGGCGGCGGCGCGGACTGGGTGGGCGGCGGCGGCGGCGCGG